TCCTCCGAAATATGTGGTTGTATTGAAGTTTGAGTCTCAGCAGCTCTCATACAGCACATTTAACCAGCTGCATTGGGAAAAATGGGACTCCGGTATTGACACATATTTTATTTTATTTTTTTCATTATAACGAGGTGATCTGAGCAAAAAAAAAATCCATTGTCAGGCCTTGAATCCAGCCCATTTCTCTGAACCCGACACTTTCCTTTATTGCTCCAGTTAGAAGACGTTAGGCGACGTTGGACCAACTTCCTGTCGTCCCTTCACTAAAACAGCCGTCTGAGCTTTTAAATATACACAACATTAAGTTTTTGAATATTAACTGTTGTGCATCTTTTAGGTCACAAGACAAGTCAAGATGAATCGACATCAAGTGAACATGAAACAATATGTTAAAAATGTATTTCCCCCATTGGCCCAATTTCCTCATTCATGACAAGGAGGTTTTTTTTTAAAAATATAACTCACTCCTTTGAAATTGCATTAAGCATAGCATAAAGCTGTGGATAATTGAGGCCATTGCCCTTTAGGTGTGAGGTGCAGTCCATGACCCAGAGACGTTTGCATGACCTGCCTCAGCTCAACTGGTGTCACCTCTTTGCTCATTTTTAGATTTGCTGGGCGTTAGGATGAGGTGGCACAGTGGGTTGTCCACAAAACGCCAGGCTGCCAATTCCTCCCCTGATAAATTAGTCAATGAGGAACACATCATAGAGCAGTTTGTACAGTCTAGCTAAGGGTAAAAGGTGCTCCAAGTGCAGACAATTTACTATTAAAGACAGACAACATGTTGACCAGTGTTTTCCCTAAACTGAACTGAAGTGCTTCTGTTGGTTGACCTGAGAACCCTGTTCTCTGGAGTCTGAGTTCTTTCTCCATCCCGCCTATTTTGTGGTGATTCCAGTGCTGTTGATAAATGTGACACTTCACATGAGTGTAATCCACTGCCATGGCAACTGCTTGCTCATAGGGAATCCAACGACAACTTTGGATTGTTGGGTTCTCTGTTCAGAATTCGTAATGTCTCTACCTCACTATGTTAAGTGATGTGAGATGACATATGTTGTGAATTTGCGCCATATAAATAAAACTAAACTGAGTTGAATTCAGTAGGTCTGCACTCATAAGAACAAATCTGATAGAGGACAAGCAAAACAAGAACTGCTCTCATCTGCTCAACGATCTGAGTGACTGGATTCAAAGAGAGGAGCTCAGCCA